CTGGGCAGGATATGCCCTAATAACTGGTTACTAATTATTGCTATAGAATGTCCAGAAGTTTACAGATAAAAAATTAAATGCTGAAATAAACAAAAAAAACCCACTAAATACTGTAACTTTCAGAGGAAAGTTGGGAAGCACACAGTCAACTTAGTCAAGATAACGATTAATGGATTATAATAAATGCTTAAATTAGACTACTTAGAGAATTTTGTTCTTTAGGGTCTTCTGTTTGTTGTTCTTTTTTTTTTCCTTAAAGACAGAGTCTCACTGTGTTGCCTAGGTTGGAGTGCAGTGGCATGATCATAAGTCACTGTAACCTCAAACTCCTGGGCTCAAGTGATCCTCTTGCCTCAGTCTCCTGAGTAGCTGGGACTACAGGCACACGCCACCTAAGGTCTTCAATGTTATATCCCTCTAGGATGTTTGCATTTTAAAATGTCATTGTTGGCCAGGCAGTGGCTCACACCTGTAATCTGCCTATCCTCCCACCTCAGCCTCCCAGGGTGCTAGATTACAGGTGCAAGCCATTGTGTCTGGCCCTGTATTTTTTATTAGAGTTCTTTTTTTGCCAGACTGTTATAAATTTTAGGAATAATGCACTGATAAAATATAGTGTTTTGGGGGAGGTGTGTGAGGAAGGGAGAGTCTAATATGAAGTATCCAAGAATACCATGATCCTGACTGACAAAATCCTTATTAACTATGATTGAAAATAATTTATATATTTTTCAATATAAATTAATACAAAAACTCTCATTTGACTAAGTATGGCAAACTACTGATTTATACTATACATCTGGTCCCTTCCCCCCGCAAAAGGGATAAACTCATTGGAACATGAAGAATGAGAGAAGAGACAAACAACAGACTAGAGGTATTCAAATTCTGGAAGGTGGGAACAGAATGGATGAAGGGTAAGAGTGATTAAGTGCACAGAGGAAGCAGAGAGTGAGGAGCATGGTGGAGCAGCCACCAGAAAGCCAACAGCCTTATGGCATAGAGCCTGGGAAGGCACCAGTGCCTCAGGAAGGGGGAGTGCAAGATGGGGCTGGAAAATGGAGCACCAGCTCCAAGTCTGAAAGAAGAGTTAAGATACCCAAGCCCACCCAATTTAACCAAGTAACTGTGCCCATCAGAGGAGCACGAGGTACATTCAAACAGCTGGAAGGACGTCAAAGCCTACACACTGAATTATAAGACCATACCCTCACCCCACAACCCTACCATCTCCTTCTCTACCTGGCTTTGAGGATGCTGGCAGCCAAGCTTTTACCTCTAGTTAGAAAATCTTGAGTGTTCTGGGAAAACTACACTCAGAAAAAGACCTATAGATGTTAACTGGCCACCTTATCATTCTATAAAAAGGACCACAGGCCAACAAGCCTTACCCATACTATAACACAGAGCTTCAAATCATTTTTTCGTTTTTAGCATCTCTCTCCTAAAAATATAAGTGGATGAACCAGGATAACCTGGCATTTGAAGAACCTCTAACAAGAAAGAAGAAATAGGAAATAGACAAGAGGATTTTAAATTACAAAAAAACACATTATAATGTGTTTGACAAGAGACACTATAATAATTGTAAACCAGGTTCTAGTTATTTTTAAAAAATCAGTACATCCAGAGAAGCAGCAGCTTTTCAAAATATGAGAGAAAAAAAGTAAATAGAAGGTCAGGTGATAAAGTTGAAGAAGGCATGGAGAAATAATAACAAAAAGACAAAGACACAGAATACAGAATAAAAAGATAAAAAGCCAGAGGATCAATCTAGGAGGTATAATACTTTATTAACAGGAATTACAAAATAGTAGAGAAAACAGAGGAAAGGAAATTATTAAAAAACTAACACATGACAAATTTCCTAAACTGAAAGATGTGAAGTTTACAGATGGGAAGATCTCATAGAGTAGCTAGCACAATGAAGAAAAGAGACCTTCTCAAGACCTACCGTTTTTTTATTATCTCAGAGCCTGAGGGAAAACAAGAAGATCTTCAAACTTTCCAGAGGAGAAAAACAGGAAACAAATAAATGACTGAAAAATCAGAATGGCTCCTGGCTCCGGTCTTCCCAAACACAACACTGGAAGCTAGAGGTAAGTCAGGAGCAATGACTTCAATACAGTGTGAGAAAATTATTTGAAATCTAGAATTCCATACCCAGATGACACCCAATGAAGCATGAGGGTGGGATAAAGACATGTTCAGATATACAAGATCAATGTACTCTTTTTCATGAAACCAATAAGGGATGATAAGCTCTCTTAAATGAAGGCCCACTTTAAGAAAGGGGAGACACAAGATTCAGGACACATTCAATAAAGGAGAGAAGAAAATGATGAAGACCATGAGCTGCACAAGGGATTGAGCTATCAAATAGACTTGAGGAATAAACAGCCCAATTGGAAAGTGTGGATCAGAAAGATGTGGCCCAAGAAACTAAAAAGCAGTATGAAAACATGAATTAGTGATCCTAGAGAAACAAAATGTTTTAAAAGAAAGGAAATATTAATTACAGTATACTTCATGATTATTATAGATTTCAAAAAATGAAAAATGATAAAAAAGGTCAATAAATAATATAAATAGCAGTAAAAGCTTAAAAAACAGAAGAAACTGGCAGGGGAAGGAACTTTTTTGCCTGTTGACAGTGAAGGCCTCTTGGCAAGGGAATCAGGCTGGAGAGGAGGTAAGGCAGGGGACCTTTGTTTTTTTTAAAAAGCTTTACAGACGAGTATGTATGACTTTGTAATTTATGGACATGTTTTATTGATGAAAGTTAACAGTTAAACAAATCTTCCAGATTACCTACTTCATTTTCTGTCTATCATTTGCGACTAGAGACTTTAATTTGGAGGAATAATCATATGATATGTAAGAATAAAAAGATGGAAGAAATGTAATCAAAATGAAGTAACAAAAATCCCAAGCTGGTAAGAGATTTCTCCTACTCACCATCTCTCTGGCTATTTCCAGCGCTTCCTGCAGGCCGTAGAGCCTGCCACAAACCAGGTAGATTCCATTGGCCCAGAGAATACATCCCTCATGGACCCAAAATTCATTGCTGTCAAGAGGTAGTTCAGGGATTTGTAACTCCAGCTCGGGGCCACCTTCTGAAGTAGTCGGCACGGAGGGCTTTGAGTCCAAAGCAGTCTTTTCGCTGCTGCCCTCAGTGGTTGCTTTTTTACAAGGGAGCCCCCTGGACAGGGACCGAGGGCCTCCACCACAGTCTTCAGAGCGGTGGCGTCGCTTAAACCTGGGGTGTGCGGCCAGACTCCTCTGCTCCTTCTGCTGCTGCTCCTCTTCCTCCTCAGTGTCTGTCTTGGAGCCGTTAGAAGCACTTTTGTGCCGTACCTTCACTTTGCTCTGCATTTCTGAGGCTCTCTTAGGAGGTGGATTCTTCGGGAGAGTGGCTGCATAATCCTGGGGATAAAAGGGTCCAAAGAGGTCACCCATGTTCCGGTAACTGGCCCACTTGCCACACAGACAGCAAACCAGGTGCCCCATAACAGAAGACTCTGTCACAACAGGTCCCTGCAGCATGAAGGATGAAGCTGGGAGTGCCTTGCTTTCAGTGCTACTGGGTGGAGGGGTCAGTGACCTCTGACCCTTCCGACCCCTCACTAATTTGGTCTGTTCTTCTTCTTCAGCATTGATGATTGTACAAACGGCTCCAAGTTCACACTTATTTACTACATGGATATAAGGGAAAAAAGACTTATTCTTGGCATCAGTTTTATCCAGTGGCTGGGTGGCATACTTGAGTTTGATCTCAGGTTCTTGGGGTTCTACAATGGGAACTGCTTGTTTGGTTTTTCGCTTCCTTGGCTGGGCCCCAGGCTTTCTTCTCTCTCTCCTTTGCCTCTGTTTTTTTGGCTTTGGCTCTCCATCTGCAGAACCTTCTGGTATCTGAGGGGGCTGAGGGGGCGGAGGTGGCGGCTGCTGTTGTTTCTTTTGTTTATTCACACTACCAATGGGTCTACCCTTCTTCTTTCCTGATGGGAAATATCCTTTTGGGGGGAAACCCTCTTGTTTGGGCGAAATTGTAACAGTATCGTTCTCTTTCTCTTCAGTCTTGGGATTTGCCTCAGGGGCCAATATGCCCACTGGAGGTACATTCTTTGAGTCAGGAAAGATTAAAGGTGCTGTTCCACCCAGGGAACCATCTGGTCTCCCTTGGTTACTACCAGGCTTTTGTGAGGTTGCAGATGTCATGACACCAGGGGGTTCCTTTCCGGTAGTAACTGTTTCTGGATGTGTCTCTGTCTTCACTTTGTCGTCCCCACCGCTACGCCACTCTTCTGAAGACCTTGGAAGAGGTTTCTCAACATTCAACTCCTGGTTTGTTGGACCTACTAGGTCAGATACTACCTCACCTTTTCTCTTCTCCATGTCGGCATCCTGAACAGCAACGCTCCCACCTTCTGGAGGACCACTTTTCAAAGACAAGATATCATCAAGTGTAACCGTGTCTCCCCCAGCCTCTGCACTGTTCGAGGATGCACTCCTCCTAATATTTGGGGATGTGATCTTCTGAACTATAGCTTCCAATTTCAATCCCCGTCCTTTCCGTGGGGGCAGTATTTTGGTTTTAGCAGGGCCTGTGAGGGTAACGGCGGGGCAGTTTCTATTATCTGGACTTGGAAGGTCCTTGGAGGAATCTCTCTTAGGGATAGACTTGATGTCCTGACTGTGAGAAAGATGGGCATAGGAATTGAATGCTTTATCAGTGCCTTCTTTTGATGGGTGAAGGAGGCGTCCCCTATCTTCAGTGTTGCTGTTCTTTATATCTTGTGACTGTCTCTTACTGGGAATGGGAGAGATAAAAGAACGGACACGCCTCCTCATGATTAAGGGGTTTTGAGAAGAATGATCCTCTTGACCTGGAAGCCGTAGCATAACATTACTGGGTTTGGATGACTGTGTAGACTCAGCTAGTCCATGTCCATCAGTCTCATGGGGTGGCCCATACCTTTTTTGACTGGACATTCCTGGAGGACCACTGCTTTTGGCTGGAGAAGTTTGTCGAGAAAGATCCCAACAAGATTCTTGTAACTTCTGGGAGCCATGCTTTAATTCCATGCCTTTGTTAGGCAGACCATCACTGGACATGAGGCAGCGCCCAGCCTCCTGAGCACTGGGGTCATGGTAAGTCCCTACTGGTGGGCCATACATCATACCATCTTTGTCATTTTTAAGAGGGCTGCGTACTCTGTCAAGAAACTGCTGCTGTCGTGGGCTCTTCCGTGGCCCCTCCTGCCTGTGCTGTGCTGCGGCAATTACTCCCTGAGCAGAAGTGCTGCTCCAGTCCTTATACTCCTCTTGCTGCTGTTGGTACATCTGTCTCTTATAATGGAGCTGAGAATTCAAACCTGCATTAGGGTCCCCATAAGCATGAGCCCGAGTGTTCGTGTGATAGGCAGAGGCCAGGCTTTCTGAGTTAGGAGAAAAGGGAGCATGTAAAGAACTCCTGTTGGCCCTCTCTGAAAAGGTCATGTGTGGATTCATGTGATGAGGGTCTCCCCCCGGGCCTCTGCTCCTTCCAGGAGACATCTTCAATTTTTCTGCAAAGTCATGATACTGAGAAGGGGACCGACCCCTCATGCCCTCTCGACCACCAACTCTGCCAGGGACCCGCCGCATTGGTGTGGGTCTGCTGTCTTGTGGGCCGTAGTCTGAAAGGGAATCATGGGCTGCTGCTCCAGGGCTGGCATTGCCACGGTAAGACTCATGCTTGATGCTAGCAGGATGGCAGTGGTCTCCAGATTTCTTGTTGTTGAAGCTAGCTTGGGATTTGGATTGTTCAAAGTCTTCTTCTTTTATCTGCCCACTCTGAGATTTCAGCTTTGTTTCCATGGACACCAAACCACCTGGAAGAATGACCGACTGACTTAAACTTGGATTGAGACGTTCATTCCTCCCAATTCTGGTGTCAGCACCTATGTGTCCCAGTGAGTGAGCCCCCGGGTCCCTGACAATCTGTCTTAGTGGAGAAATATCACAGATCACTGATCTTCGTTCAGAGAGGGAACCCCCAGGCTCATGGGCTGATGACTGAGGCTCTATTTCAAACTTTCTGGGAATTGGATAGTCAGCCAAATTGATCTGTTTCATTTCAGGAGCTGCGCTGCTTGATTTCCTTTCCCAGGGGCCCCAGTGTGGGTTTTCTAATAGAGACCCAATGCTTTTGTTCAGAAGGCCCCTACTAGCTAATTCATTGGTTTGACTCACTAAGACATTGGGCCTTGTGGTTCCTTCTAGGCCACTAGCCATCCCCTGATGCTCCTGAGCACTCCTAGAATATCTCCGGTCAGGATGGTGGTGGTAGCCCTGAAGCACTTCCTGAAGGAGGCTCGGGAACTTCTCATTTCTACCCTTTCGTTCTCCATGGCCAGTGAAATCCCCCTTTTCTTGCCCTGTAGGATACTGAGGAAAGCCACTGACATTTCGTGGCACAGCTGACCCAAAACTATCTTTGTAACTATAGCGTAGGCTTCCAGGAGATTTGCTAGGTTCAGTTCTTCCTGTAAAACCAGGGCCCACTGTGGAGTGGCCACTCTGGCCATTTCCCTCTCCATTATGGTTGGAGTTGTTATCTCCATTCTTGTTTCCTTTGCCCCCTCCTCCTGGAGGTTCTGGCTGTGGAAGTGAGGTGTGGCTGGTTTCCTTTGCCCCACCATTGCTAGGTGGCCTTTGAGTGGCTGCAGGGTCATCCTCTTGGGAGCCTTTATCTTGTCCACCAGGCTTTTCTACCCGACTTGTCATGGCTTCCCGGGAGACAATCACCCCAACTGTTTTCTCATTGACTTTTGGGTTCCCCTCGGATGACGATGGTGTGTCCTTAGCACCTGGCGAGGTAGCCTCTTCTCTTGCTGCGGGACTGGCACTGAGTCTGGGGGGTTCGTTCTGAGCACCTGGTGCTGGTGAGGAGCCAGCTTTCTCTGAGGTTCCACCCTTGTAGGTGGTGTCAGAGCTAGTGCTCTGGCCACTCAGTTGCCGCACTCTCTCACCTTGGTCCTCCGAACTGCTGGAGCAGCCCCCATCCAGTGACTCTGCCATAGGGGACTTCAGTTGTTCTTCAGGCTGTGAGGAACCTTCGGAGTTTGTGCAGCTATCTGCTTTCTTAGAAGATGAGGGCCTCTTGGAGGTCTTCTTCTGAGGTGTCAGAGCATCAGAAAGTAACATGTGCTGGACAGTATTAGGAAGATTGGCCACTTGAGTACTCAGGGCACTCAAACTACTCAAACCAGGATCTGTCAATCGCTTTTCTGGCACTCCTTCTAGTCCAAACCCTTTGAAGCCTGCAGCATGAGAATTAGGACTGGGCAGCATTGATGGAGTTGGACTGAGTTGAGGCATTAACTGTAAAATTCTGTTTCTGGAACCCATGGGCACACTGCCTTGTCCACACTGGAGGTTCTCCCCACTCTGCATTAGAGGAGATGGGGTGGAGCTACAGCTCGGAGACTGTACCACAGAGGCAGCTGGAGAAGGGTTAGAAATAGGGCTGAAGTTCTGGTGAAACTGCATGGGGGACCTTACAGGAACTTCGGGCTGGCTGTACTGCCCCACCTGGCTTTGCAGGGGCAGCTTAGTGGCTGCGTTGGTATACTGCATCACATGCTGAGAGGGATGTTGTTGTTGTTGTTGTTGTTGCTGCTGTTGCTGTTGTTGCTGCTGCTGCTGTTGCCCCTGCTGGGTTCCTTGTGGAATCTTTGCCTGTTCAAAATTCTTCATAGATTGAGGCTGATAGCTATAATTTGATTGTGTGCCATAAGCCTGTGCATTAGAACCCACATTATGTCCTTCATACTGGGATCCAGCATTCACACTGTAACTGCCATCATAGCTCTGTCCAGACTGGCTAAAACGTTGTGGTGAAGGGAAGGAGGAGGAGGAGGAGGAGGATGCAGAAGACTGGTAGTGTTGGCCAAACTGACCCACTCTTAACTGGTAACCAGTGGCAGAGGATGGCAGAGTTGAAGGCCGCTGCATTGGCTGGAGATGGGATGAGCCGGACGCTGGCTGGCCAGAAGCTTGTGGCAGAGGCTGATGGGATTGGTAAAGCTGTTGTCTCAACTGTTGTACTTGCTGCTGCTGCTGTTGGCTGGAAGCCTGCTGTTGGTACTGAGCACTCCCTGGAGAGAAAGGCCCTGTGTAATCCTGTTGATAATGAGACACACCACCAAGAGCAGAGTGCTGTGCTTGAAACTGGCCCACATGACCCTCACTCCCATACTGATTGCCAAAGCTGCTCCCCTGGGGGGGTCCATAGCTCTGCACAGGCCCAGAAGGCCTTCGCTGAGGAGGTTGTGGGGTTCCTGTAGCCACAGGGTCTTTGTTGCCTGCCATGTAATAAAAATCTCCAGCCTCTTTTCTGAAACCCTGGTAACCTTGGTGGCCAGAGGTTTCACTAGCCATCGCTGCAGCAGCAGCTGCTGCTCCTCGTCGTCCACCACCACTGCCACTGCCACTACCGCCACTACTGCCACCTGCACCCCCAAAATTCTGGAACATCTGGGCCTGACGAGGGCTGAACTCTTCTATCCGGGATGAGCTGTGTACCTCCTGTGGGTAGCTCTGCTGGTTTCCGTGGTAACTGCTTTGCTCCCGAAAGGACTGCATACTGTTCAACAGTACAGCAGCAGGCCAACAGCCCTCCTAGAAATAGAAGAAAAGAAAGAAAAACATTAGACATGCATCTCAGCATAAATAAAATCAAGTCTAGATGATAGGGATAGTCTAGAAGGGATAAGATAATTCAGATACCCAGATAAAGTTGAGTGGTTTGAATTTCATCTCTTTTTATTTTTTATCCTGTCCATTTCTGAAAATGCAAATATGCAAAGAAAAATGGCCCAAAGAGTGAGGTAGCAGTCTGTGGTAGAATGAAGAGAAACATTCTGGGTGTATACAAATTCAGTACTGTGAAAACTTCATTATTAGACAAATGAACCCCCAAAATTCAACTAGGTTAAAATATGGGGCTATGCATTACTATCAATGAAAGACAGTAATTTTTAATGAGTATTCCAGTTATGGTAGGGTAGGAGAAAAACCACTTTCATTTCTTTGCTTTGATGTATTAGACTGATCACTGAGCTGAGAGTCTCAAATAATGATGAGGCTGTCACTCCACAGGCTGCCCATCCCCATCCCCAACACTAAGAAACAGCTGGCCTGAGAACAGAAGCCAGTTCCTTATGCCCACATGCATATTACTGCAGGTTTACTATACTCATCAATGACCTGTAATGACTGGTGACCCCAGGACACTCAACCCTTATCACTCTATGGACTCCTTATGCTGCAGTCATCCACACAAACTTTGGAGTCAACCTCTACTTTACATATTGTCCCAGGTACCCCTTTCAACCACCCACCCTGAATTACCAGGTACAAAGGGCTAGACTTAAGCCAGGGAGCAGCAGTGACTATTCTTCTAGATACTTTTTGGAGATATGCAAGAAGTTCCCAAACCTTTAAGCCCCATGTGGTTTTTTATTTGCCAATCTAGTATTCACAAAGTTATTACTGGCCGTTACTGTGAAAGAAGAAATGGAAGCAATCACTTTGGAGTGTAGCAAAAACTAGAGAAGAAAATAAGAATTCATTAAGCCTAGGACTCAGATGCTTCCCAAAGTTATCTGATTGGGCCACTACTTTGCATTACCTTTGCTAATGAATCATCCTCTTAAACAATTAATTTCCTTTATTTTTCCTTTTGCCTGGGTCTGTCTCCTTACCAGAGTCAGAGATGAATAGAATAAGGCCAAACTGCTCCAAATGACTTTAAAACCAATTGTTTAAAAAAGAAGTTATGGGCCAGGCATGGTAGCTCACGCCTATAATCCTAGCACTCTGAGAGGCTGAGGAGGATCACTAGAGGTTAGGAGTTTGAGACCAGCCTGAGCAAGAGCAAGACCCTGTCTCTACTAAATAGAAAAAAACTAGCTGGGCATGGTGGTGCCCACCTGTAGTTCCAGCTACTTGGGAGGCTGAGGTAGGAGGATCATTTTAGCCCAGGAGTTGGAGGTTGCTGTGAGCTAGGCTGATGTCACTGTACTCTAGCCCCAGTGACAAAGCGAGACTGTCTCAAAAAAATAAAAATAAAAATATAAAGGAAGTTATGAAACTCATATGGGCTAGAGTTAGGTACTAATAGATAGTTTTCCTACAATGGTTTATGAAGCCAGTTCCTTAGTTCCTCTCAAGGGGAGCTGAAAATGGAGTTGTCTGCAAGAAAGTTAGCGATCCTTTTAAACAATAAATCGGATTCATGATCTCCAAGCCCAAAGTACTCCCATCTCATTCCTTGGGAAGCTGGTCTCAGAGGCCCTGCCTCCACCCCATGACCTCTCTGACCTCTTCCTCTACCATCCTCTGCTCTAGCCCCACTGCCTTCTTGCTCCTGGAATAGGTCAACCATATTTCTACATAGGAACTCTGCTTTCACTTGCCCTGTTTTCCCCCATAGCCACACAGCTTGCACCTCTCACCTCCTCCCAGTCTCTGGGCAAATGTCACCTATTCCCTGACCATCCTACTAAAACCAGCTAATTCCACACCTCCACTTTGGCCCTATCTCCCTCCCCTGTTTATCCACCTCACTCCCAATATATGCTACTTGTTTACTGTCTCTGCCCCCTAGAATGTAAACTCCTTAAAGAGCAGACACTGCCTATTCTTTGCTGTAATTCTCATGTCATTGAAACAGTATGGAACACACAGCAGGCATTCTGTGTGAATGATTAAATGATGTAAGAACTAAGCCTCAGAGAACTAAACTAGAACTCACATATTCAGAGACTGTGGTGGTAAGATCAGAGAACTGCAGGAAGAGAAAAACAGAGTATGATCAAGCTAAAAGCAGAGCTGGAGGATGCTGAAGACCTTGCCTGTAAAATCCTCAGGGTCTAGTTCTAAGGGAAAAGACCCAGCTTGGGTTCCACATGAGAACTGTGACTTCAGAAAGTAAACATGGATCATAGCAGAAGATGGTAATCCCAAATTCTGCAAACTTGACCCACTTCTTGAGATATCTTAAGTCTAAAATAGCTAGACAAGAGTCTATTTTTTTGATATTAAATTTGATTATAGTCACATGACCCAAAGCCATCTTAAACATTCACATATATATAATGTGAAAATCTAAAGGAAACTGCTTCTCCTCCTATTCAAAAAGCCTCTGTAACAGACTGTTATTTCTGTGTTCCAATGACTCTGTTGGGCAACAGGTAATAGCTATTTAAATATTACAATGCATGACACTGTTCTAGCACTTGACATGCACTAACTCATTTAATCCTCACAATACTAACATCCTCATTTTACAGATGAGGAAATGGAGGCAGAGTTCACAATGCTCCTATGCAGCAGGGCCAAGGGCCCAGCATGGCCACCCCCATGGGCCATGTTCTTAACATCAGACTGCTCAGAGGCTCTTCTACACAGTCAGTACAGATGCCACTTGTCCCACCAATGGTGGGCCTTGAAAGCACGTGGCCACCAACAATACTTCTGGGTAAGTCCCTTCTCTGCTGCCCTCTCACAAGAATTTCCATGCTGTTCCAGCTGGTTCTTCATCATTTCTAGGACTCTGAAGAACAATTCTGTCCATGCATGTATTTTTCCTGTTTGTGATGTGCTTCTACTCTAGTTCTTGGTGTCAATGGCCTTCTCCAGATGATAAAACAAGGCTGAATGGGGGCTAAATTAAATAAAAAACACTAAATCTGGCAGTTTAAACTAATGAAAAGCTTCCTCAAGAGATGCTCTCTCTATAAATAAATACTTTACATGTTGTTTAATTAATCCTTCTGGAAATAAAATCAGGCCTCTGCGTGTATAAACAATGCTGCCGCTTGTACCATATTTTTCCTAAATAGGAGCCACCAAGAGCTAAAGACCACTTTAAACATCAGCACATCTGGCCTCAGGCTGCCTGCCGACTGAGAGAATCCTATCTCCAAACAGGGAAACAGATATGGGAACATTTCCTTCTCAGGTCTGTTCTCAGCCCTTTCCTGTAGATTCCTTGTCCTGTATGATGCCCTTCTCCCTATTGTTAAATTTTATGGACTAGAAGAAAAAAAAAATCCACAGCCAAATAAATCCTGCAGGGTACCAGTCAAGCTAATATTTTTAGTATATTGAAGTATTTGAATACCAAGTGATTCCAAGTTTCTTTTTTAGGAGCTCCAAGTAAACCAATTAGGAAAACCAAGGATTAATAGTATCTTATCAGCAACAGAAAATGTAAACCTGGACTTTGTAATTTTACCATTAGCATATAAAATAAGCCAACAATAGAGATCATTCCAATATTACCCTATTGTTTTAGTAAAAGCATCAGTGTAATCATTTATAATTTAAAAAAAATTTTTTAATTTTTAATTTTGTAGAGATGGGACTCACTACATTGCTTAGGTTGCTCTTGAACTTCTGGCCTCAAGTGATCCTCCTGCCTAAGCCTCCCAAAGTGTTGTGATTACAGGTGTGAGCCACCACGCCTAGCCCTATAATTTTTTTTTTTTTTTTTTGAGACAGAGTCTCACTCTGTTGCCTGGGCTACAGTGTTGTGGCGTCACCTAGCTCACAGCAACCTCAAACTCCTGGGCTCAAGTGATCCTCCTGCCTCAGCCTCCCAAGTAGCTGGGACTATAGGCATGTGCCACCATGCCTGGCTAATTTTTTCTATTTATTTTTAGTTGTCCAGCTAATTTCTTTCTATTTTTAGACGGGGTCTCGCTCTTGCTCAAGCTGGTCTCGAACTCCTGTCAAATGATCCTCCACTGCCTCAGCCTTCCAGAATGTTAGGATTACAGGTGTGAGCCACCATATCTGGCTTATATATATATATTTTAAATTTAGAGACAGGGTCTCACTCTGTCACCTAGGCTGGAATGCAGTGCCGTGATCACAGCTTACTGCAGCCTCAAACTCCTGGATTCAAGCAATCCTCCCACCTCAGCCTCCTGAGTAGCACATATCACCACACCTGGCTAATTTTTTTTTAAGTTTTTTTTTTTAGAGAGATGGGGTCTCACTATGTTGTCCAGGTTGGTCTTGAACTCCTGACCTCAAGTGATCCTCCTGCCCTGTGCTGGGTTTATAGGTGTCAGCCACGGTGCCCAGCCAATGTAATTAGTTTTAAAGTGTTGTAATTACTATTATTATTTTTTTTTTTGAGACAGAGTCTCACTTTGTTGCTCAGGCTAAAGTGAGTGCCGTGGCGTCAGCCTCGCTCACAGCAATTTCAAGCAATCCTGCTGCCTCAGCCTCCTGAGTAGCTGGGACTACAGGCATGCGCCACCATGCCCGGCTAATTTTTTCTATATATACTAGTTGGCCAATTAATTTCTTTCTATTTATAGTAGAGATGGGGTCTCATTCTTGCTCAGGCTGGTTTCGAACTCCTGACCTCGAGCAATCCGCCCGCCTCGGCCTCCCAGAGTGCTAGGATTACAGGCGTGAGCCACCGCACCCGGCCCATTTTCCTCTTTTTAATTGGTATTTTGTTGGAGAAATTATGAGATTACACCAATATCCTGCTCTTTGTCAAACATCCAGCCACCGTCAGCATCCATTGATGGCTCCCATGTGAATCAATCATCTCTACGATGATTGCCAAATGTTGACACTCTATATTTTATCCATCATTCCTTCCAAATTTATTAGTAGGCAGACCTTTTTCTCCTCATTCATTAATTAATTCATTTATTTGATGCTCAGATTGTCCTAGATTTGGCCAGTAAAAACCTCTTCAAACTGGCTTCTGTGTCCTTTTGACACACTCCAGTCTTTCAGCATTCTCTTACTTCCTGGCACATGATGCTTCAGATTCATCTTATACTTTCCCTGCCCCAACTCCTGGAACCAGCCATTAACCAGACATTTCTCTAAGAACACCTGATTCCTTTTAGAGGAGGAGAATATTTAGAAACAAAGATCCAGGTGCTAGGATTGCTCACTGGTGCTGGGATGTCACTGCTTCTAGCTAGAAAATATGCACATACATGAAACTTCCACACCTATAACTACTTCTGTATATATAGTGTATATGTTAAAGAACCAGGAATTCACACTGATACCTCCAATTCTAATCCAAAACCTTAGGTTTCCTTGCAGCCTTCCATCTTTCCGTTTGCAATTCCTTCCTAAGACAGGAAGAAACCCTGACTCCTGTTATCTCAATATATGCTTACCTGCTTGCTAAATGTAACCAAACTCCTGAGCTCTTAGGTCTCGTCCCTCACACCCCTCCCCATCACCTCCTTGGCCATGGGGCTCACCACTTTCTCCGCTGTGGCATGCTCCCATTAGGTTTTTTGTTTTTGTTTTTTTTTTGCCAACTAATATATATAGAAAAAATTAGCTGGGCATGGCGGGCAGATTGCTTGAGGCAGGAGTTTGAAACCAGCCTGAGCAAGAATGAGACCCCGTCTCTACTATAAATAGAAAGAAATTAATTGGCCAACTATTATATAGAAAAATTAGCCGGGCATGGTGGCGCATGCCTGTATCCAGCTACTCAGGAGGCTGAGGCAGCAGGATTGCTTGAAATTGCTGTGACGAGGCTGACGCCACGGCACTCACTTTAGCCTGAGCAACAAAGTGAGACTCTGTCTCAAAAAAAAAAAATATAATAGTAATTACAACACTTTAAAACTAATTACATTGCTGGCACCGTGGCTGACACCTATAAACCCAGCACAGGCAGGGATCACTTGAGTCAGGAGTTCAAGACCAACCTGGAAACATAGTGAGACCCCATCTCTATAAAAAAAAAAACTTAAAAAATTAGCCAGGTTGGTGATATGTGCTACTCAGGAGGCTGAGGGTGGAGGATTGTTGAATCCAGGAGTTTGAGGCTGCAGTAAGCTGTGATCACGGCACTGCATTCCAGCCTAGGTGACAGAGTGAGACCCTGTCTCTAAATTTAACATATATATAATTAAGCCAGATATGGTGGCTCACACCTGTAATCCTAACATTCTGGAAGGCTGAGGCAGTGGAGGATCATTTGACAGGAGTTCGAGACCAGCTTGAGCAAGAGCGAGACCCCGTCTAAAAATAGAAAGAAATTAGCTGGACAACTAAAATAAATAGAAAAAATTAGCCAGGCATGGTGGCACATGCCTATAGTCCCAGCTACTTGGGAGGCTGAGGCAGGAGGATCACTTGAGCCAGGAGTTTGAGGTTGCTGTTGAGCTAGGTGACGCCACAACACTGTAGCCCAGGCAACAGAGTGAGACTCTGTCTCAAAAAAAAAAAAAAAAAAATTATAGGCTAGGCGTGGGGCTCACACCTGTAATCACAACACTTTGGAGGCTTAGGCAGGAGGATCACTTGAGGCCAGAAGTTCAAGAGCAACCTAAGCAATGTAGTGAGTCCATCTCTACAAAATTAAAAATTAAAAATTTTTTTAAATTATAAATGATTACACTGATGCTTTTACTAAACAATAGGGTAATATTGGAATGATCTCTATTGTTGGCTTATTTATATGCTAATGGTAAAATTACAAAGTCCAGGTTTACATTTTCTGTTGCTGATAAGATACTATTAATCCTTGTTTTCCTAATTGTTTACTTGGAGCTCCTAAAAAAGAAACTTGGAATCACTTGGTATTCAAATACTTCAAATACTAAAAATATTAGCTTGACTGGTACCTGCAGGATTTATTTGGCTGTGGATTTTTTTTCTTCTAGTCCATAAAATTTAACAATAGGAGAAGGGCATCATAAGGACAAGGAATCTACAGGAAAGGCTGGAACAGACCTGAGAAGGAAATGTTCCATATCTGTTTCCCTGTTTGGAGATAGGATTCTCTCAGTCGGCAGGCAGCCTGAGGCAGATGTGCTGATGTTTAAATGGTCTTTAGCTCTTTGGTGGCTCCTATTTTAGGAAAAAGTAACAAGCGGCAGCATTGTTTATACACGCAGAGCCTGATTTTATTTCCAGAAGGATTAATTAAACAACATGTAAAGTATTATTATAGAGAGAGCATCTCTTGAGGAAGCTTTCATTAGTTTAAACTGCCAGATTAGTGTTTTTTATTTAATTTAGCCCCATTCAGCTTGTTTTATCATCTGAGAAGGCCATTGACACCAAAACTAGAGTAGAACACACAAACAGGAAAATACAGCATGGACAGAATTGTTCTTCAGAGTCTAGAAATGATGAGAACCAGCTGGAACAGCATGGAAATTCTTGTGAGAGGGCAGCAGAGAAGGACTACCCAGAAGTATTGTTGTGGCCACGTGCTTTCAAGGCCCACCATTGGTGGACAAGTGGCATCTGTACTGACTGTGTAGAAGAGCCTCTGAGCAGTCTGATGTTAAGAACATGGCCCATGGGGTGGCCATGCTGGGCCTTGGCCCTGCTGCATAGGAGCATTGTGAACTCTGCCTCCATTTCCTCATTGTAAAATGAGGATGTTAGTATTGTGAGGATTAAATGATTAGTGCATGTCAAGTGCTAGAACAGTGTCATGCATGTAATATTTAAATAGCTATTACC